AAACCATTGAGACTCTGAGATTGTTGGGTGTTGGTGGAACCCAACACCATGGTTCCTGCCCCGCACCTCAATCCCTATCCGTAACCCAAACACACCTGTGACCTCGTGACCTCTCCAGCCGTGTAACTGCTGCCCGCAACAGGTCCAGCCCCAAACCTGAAACCAACGTCACGGCAACGTCACCAGCTGCCGCAACGGATTCGTTGCCTGGCAGCGGTCCTAATTGTGTGTGTGTGTGCTTTGTGCCATCGTGTGTTTTAATTACCGCGTTGTCAGGCTGTGCAAATAAAAGTAATGCGATGACTGACCCCCAATAACCCACTGGACTACCCTTGAAACCCCACAGACCCTCCCACTCCCACCCTCCACGCAGGTGCAGGGAGTAAAACATATTTTCCAGAACTCAGCCCCGGACAGCTCCGAGCTGAAATAATGCCCTGGTGATGACGACCCTAAAGGGAAACCGAGAACCGCTCCTGACGCTCCGAAAATGTTTCGGCCAGGGGATTGCGAAAAGCCGCGGGGCGTAATTGCAGGGGGGGAGGTGGGTGTGGGTAGGGTTTCTCTTTGCCTCCGGGCTTATCTCCCCAGCTTCTCCTGGCTGCTTTGAGGCTTCATCGTGAGCCGCGGCTATCCCAAGGGGAGGTGGAGAGGGGAAGCTGCTCTACGCACGCGAGCCACCTGTCCGCTCGGGCCGTGTCGGGTTGCGAGGCTTGGGGCCGATTTGGCGTCGGTGTGGTTTGCGATCACCACCTGCCACCTTTTCCGAATTGTCGACTCTGACTGCAGGTGGGACGGACAAAGGGCAATTTGAGGGTTGTGCTGGAAACCAGCTTGGCTAACCCGACAAAATAGCGCTGTTCGGGAAAGCAGGACTTGTGTTGGGCGTTGGTCAATTAAGTGAAACAGAATTAATTGGTATTACAATGTATTGTGTTGCCAAGTGTGGGAAGGTGATGCAATAAATAGTATCACAGGTGAATTGTAAAGTCTCAAATTAAGCTGGCATGATTTATCAAGTTGTACAAAAGTTATTATCTAATGCTGTGGTTGATTATGGGTAAAATTAGCTCACCAGACTATGGGCCTTCCGCACCGGTGTTTGCCAGCTGCATTTGTTTAGGCAGGGAAACGGCCTGTTCGGCAAAGTTCCCTGGGTTGCCACTCCATTTCGAGTTGTCTCTCATTCATCACGTCCGATCTCAGCGAACGAGCCCCCCTTGGTTCAGTCGAGATCGACCTGCACACTGGAGTCACTTTTGTTCCACGCAGCACACATCACCTTGACCTGCGCCTGTCTGACCATCACGAGTGCTCGCGCCCTTGACCCGGTGGTACGCTGGGAGTCACCCAACCAGCCGGAACCAAACCCCCTCTTCTAGAGACGACTCGCCTGCTGTTTGTGGAACCCAGATAAGTGCGTGCGCGAGGCTCGGCCAAGCTAAACATTTGCACGCGTGCACGCGTTAACCTAGCGCCTTTGTTCAGGGACAAGTTTATTATTCAAAGAATGCAGTTTTAGCTATCTGTGTCGGCAATTCAACAATTTTTTGAAAGCTCGGCTTATTATGAGCTCCACGATCCTGGAGCAAAAACAAACAAAAAACGATTTGGCGGCCGAGGAGCCGTCGAGATGAGAACGCGTCGAAGTCCTGCAGGGAGTGCGTCACGGGACGGCCACGTCAGCACAACCGCGAAAGCCTTGCGCAGTCACGATTTAAAGAGCCCCCCCCCCCCCCCCCCGATTTCAAATGCCGCTCGCCCATCGGCCTCGTTGTTTCGCATCTTTTATCGCTGAACCTTGCAGAGGGGGGCGACATCCGTTGCGCGGAGTTTTCGCCACGTGCGTCGGCGCCCCCCACGGTGCCGTGCGCGACGTTTGTTGGACGTCGTGCGGCGGTGGTGCCATCGCACTCCGTCTCGTGGCGGTGCCATCGCACACCATCTCATGGCGGTGCCATCGCACTCCGTCTCGTGGCGGTGCCATCGCACGCCGTCTCGTGGCGGTGCCATCACACACCGTCTCGTGGCGGGTGCCAGGCCCTCGACAGGAACCGGCGCCGCTAAATCGCCGTGAACTTTTGAGCACGAGGAGGGCGTACTCCGCAACGCGCGCGGAATGTGATTTTGCTTCGGCGATGCAACATTCTTCTGCCGATCTTTCGGCTACGTACCCAATAATAATAAAACTGTCGAATAAATATATAAGAAAGAGTCCAGGGTCACATTTAATGCACCGCACACAACAACACCCAGAAGCCAGAAACTCGCTCTGTTGCTCCGTAGCGCTCGACAAAAGGTTTAATCCTGGGCCGCTCTTGTGGTTCACCGTCTCTGTTACCAGTCACAATACTTTATTGTTTTGTTCTTCTTCCATATCGTGCGTAATACAATAACGGATTACGCACGTTCCTTGCACCGCACTAAGGGTGTGGGACTGTTTGCCAGCCTTGAAGGTTGCTGTTTGGCGCGGTGGCCGAGTGGGTGCACGCCCGTGTGCTTGCGTGCGCGTGCAGTCGTGCGCGACCGCCCCGAGATGCCGCACCACCTCCTCGTCGTCCCTTATCTGACGACGACGATGATGACGACAATGATGACGACGACAATGATGACGATGACAATGATGACGACTGACAATGATGATGATGACAATGCTGACGACGACAATGATGATGATGGCGATGGTGGCAATGATGACGACGACAATGATGATGATGACAATGATGATGATGACAATGATGACGATGACAATGATGATGACAATGATGATGATGGCGACCGTGGCGACGGTGGCGAGTTGACCGGCAACGGTTTCCATGCTCACGTCGCGGTGGCCGAGTGAGCCAGTGGACGGCGGCCTGCTCTTCATAATTGTCCGTCGGTCGCGGTGATGGCCGCATCTGCTGTGCGGCGCTCTTTGTGTGTCTCAACACGGGCCATTGTTTCCAGTGGGCAAACAACGGCAAACTGCGTGCCTCTTGGCCGCCCTGACATCACGACAACACGCACCACCAGCCCTATCCCCCCCCCCCTCCCCCTCAAGTGGCGATGTTTGCACACCGCACAAGCGACTCATTTAAAACCGAGTCATGTTAGGGGGGGGAGGACCAGGACCGGTTCAGATACTCAGCACTCGCTGTTCACTGTGGCCGGGAATCAGACTCAGGTTGCCAGGTTCATAGCGCAGTGCTCTTACCACGATATCACTGCTTCGACCACCTACCAAGGCCGTCTGCTTTATGTATGTTGTTGACATTCTTTTGCGCCGTACGTAGCCAACCGTGCTACTCGGAGTTGCAGGGGGAAGGACAACAAACCACACGCAAAAATCAGTTCTAAACACAAAGAGTTTTCAACTTGGATTTCAAAGTGCTCAGCTCCGGTGGCTTCCTGGTATGGAAAGGAAGACGTGTTCCAGACGGAGCGCAGAAGCGAATATTAGCCCGGCTCGAGACCGCTGGGCCCCCTGGCACTGTCAGCGAGCGCCTATTAAGGGTGGTGCCGGAGCCAAACGGCAGGCGCCAAGCCCCACCTCGCGGTACAGTGGCAGCAGGAAACGCACCGTCTCCGCCACTCAGCGCCGTCGCTATCTCCCAAACCGGCATGGCATTATCGTTCCACGACCCTCACTGACCCTCGCATTATCTCCACGGCCAGCCATATATTTAGACAATTACCCATTGCCTGCTCCGGGGGGGGAGGGTGGGGGTCGAGGGTTGGGGGGGGGGGCGTTCGGGCGCTGATAAGGAATTCACCCTGGCATTGGCTTCATTGGAATTTGGGAATGCAAGGGTCAGGCCTTCGTGGGGGGGAGCATTGTGATGTGCCTAATGTCTAACTGGAAGAATGCCGTGCTCAGGATTACATTATTGTTTACCCATTTAATTTTAAACAACGGTTAATGATTGGAGCGTGCGGGGGGAGGGGGGGGGGGAATGACCGAGTGTGCTGCCAGGGTCGGTGGGCCACCTGACGGGGTTGGAGGCGGTCTGCAGGGCGCCTCCATGCACCCGAATCGCCTCGCCCGATCGCGCGCTGCACTTGACGGACGAAATGTTAAAGCACATGCCGTTCCTGACAGCTCCAATTACGGCTCGTGACAGGCGGGCCAGATGTGCGCGTGTGCCCGCTCCGACGCTTTTCGTGCGCCGCTTGCTGCTACTGCTGCCGCCGCTGCCGTGGCAGCTGTTGTCGAACAGGTTGGGCTTGTGCTGCAGCGCCAAATAATATTAATAATCATGTGGTAACGCGTTTTCCTCAGGCAGAAGTGCCCCCCTCCCTCCCTCCCTGCCCCTGATCGTTCCAGCTCGCGCGTTGGCCGTCGGGAATGTTGAGGTTCGCCGTCCCCCGTGTCTCCATTGCAGGGTGGTCCATTTCGAGATGCCCCACTGGTTTCTGTGAATGGCCCTTCTTATTTACCTACGAGTGACAGATGGCAAGCATCCACGTCTTGCAAAGAGAGGGATGAGTGTTGACATACGTGAGGAGCGTGTTGCGATTGATGGGAGAGATGCAGAGGGTTTTAATTCATGTTGTTGTTGTAGTCTCCGTATGTGTACTATCTTCTATTAGTATTTTAGTGGGGTGTCTGTAAATGGATTAGCCTTTATTAGTTAATATTTTGAACAATGAGTGATAGTTGAGCAGAACTGTAGGACTGGCGTGGTGCCCACCCCCCTCATGACAATGACGCGATGTGCCCCCAGGCACACGTCTGCATCTGCAGTAGGTGTACACGTGGCATTGTGGTCCGCATGAATTGTTTAACCAGTACAATACAGCATTTATATATATACAAAAATACCTCACTCAATATTCAGAGAACAATTTCACAAATGGGTCAATTACTGTAGCGGCGGTGAAGTCATCGTCGGTGAGCGGACCGACCCTGCGCCGTGAGCAAACGATGTGCGGGACGAGGTGTTGCGTCAACGTGCGACGGTGGCGGCTTGCCGGAGGGTGACACGGTGCCCTCTCGCTTTGTTGCTGCGACCAAACAGGTGGCCATCAAGTCGATCCGCAAGGACAAGATCAAGAACGAGCAGGAGTTCAACCAGATCCGGCGCGAGATCGAGATCATGTCGTCGCTGCGCCACCCACACATCATCAACATTTCCGAAGGTACCTCATCGCACGCACGCACCAACGGAGTGGCTCCAGGGTGTGCAGGCGGTGCAACTGAGCCGGGGCCAGAGGGTGCCGGAGGGGCCCAGGTGTGGGGCAACAATAGGGGGGGGTAAATTAGACTTGGGAGGGGGGCCCTGTCTCATTCCGAGCATCGGGAGACCACCACCAATGACGCTACGCCACTGACGCACTGATGGACGGGCGGACGGAGCCGTCGCCGCCGCACCCCCACCCACCCACCTCTGACCCGCCGGTGTTTCCATTTTTGTGCGACGGCGCAGTGTTCGAGAACAAGACGAAGATCGTGATCGTGATGGAGTACGCGGAGAGCGGCGAGCTGTTTGAGCACCTGCGCCGGCGGAAGGCGCTGTCGGAGGAGGAGGCGAGGAGGCTCTTCCGCCAGATCGTGTCGGCCGTGCACCACTGCCACGCCGTGAGTCCCCCCCCCCCCCCCCCCAGGGTCATCGCGCTGCCGCTGCCGGTCGCCCCCCAACGGTCCCACCCTCACGGGGTGGGGGGCAGAAAAAGGCTGCCCCCCCCCCCAAGGCGTCTCTCGCCACGCTGCGCTCGCAGCTTCCGCAGCGCCAGGCTTGCATCCAGCGTCCTCGATGGCGAGAGAAGCCGCCACTCCGTTGTGAGCGGAGTAGCCAGGAACAAGCGTTATGTCGCTCGGCTAGAGGACGCTGTTGTTGCCGCGATTTAATAAAGGTACGGGAACTAAGACGAGTAGCTTTCAATGAACTTAACAGTCCTATGAGGTTATTCCTACTCTGTTGATGCCCTTGGATGGAAAAAAAAAAAAAAAAAATATTAAGAGTGGTCACAACAATGTTGGCCAAGCCAGCCAATTCAGGAAGGTTATTCATTCACCTTCCATCTACGATAATGATTAACAACAGAGGCATTTATTTACTTCACAAGAGTCTCGCAGACTCTTGTCGAGGGGGCGGCACTCCGCATCGGCGCGATGTTTGGCCAGTTCCGCTGATGGGTGTTTTGGAAGAAAGAGAGCAAGAGATAGAGTTAAGCGTGTCCGGTATTTGGGCTACGTCGTCACGGCCGCGTTAGTAGGGGGTGGCTTTGCTGAGACATTGTCGCGGCATTTCGAGTGTGTGGGAGTGATTCAGGCTGCTGCCCGGTCCCTGTCGCTTGATTACGAGTTTTAGGAAACACCGCCCGATAACAAAGATTTAAGTGAACACTTCCAGCGATGCGTCATTTTCCATTTTAAAGCTTTAGCACCGATGCCACGCTACCGTTGCAGTGTGTGACGTTGTTTACCTGCGTCAGCCGCACGCGCAAACATGGGTTCGTGTGGTAATCTGGGGGGGGGGGGGGGGGGGGCGTTCGTGCACCTGAAAGATGAGAGGCGTGAAAATTCCGGTGTGCAGTTGGGTAATGACAGTGTCTGTGAGCTCAGTGCTGTGGCAGGTGACAGACGCACAGGGAAGGAAAGTGACTTACAGGGAGGCTACTCTTCTGATCGCTTGCACCCCAGGATCAATCCGAAGATCTCATATTCCCTCTGTGACGATGTCTCCTATGATCGCCGGTTACTGGCGGATAATGGAAGTAACCCCAGAGGTGACAGCCAATTCGTCCTTTCTATTCGCACGCTGCTGAGAGAAGTGGCCGCACGGTGGCCACCAGTTTGATTCCAGCCCTAGGTAACATCCATGTTTGGATAGGCGCAGACAATCTGATCTGGCAGAGCTCGCCAATCAGAAGTCTTCACTTGTGCCCGGTTGTATAAGGACGCCTCTTAAACACGAACTAACCGTGACAACACAGTTTTTTTTTCCGAACAGCCGAGATCGGTTACAACCCACAACGCCAAATATTTGTCGAGTCACACAACTCCATCACGCGCCGCTTAGCGGGTCACGCTCTCGACCAGCGGAGTCGGTTTTTGTTGTTTGTAAGGGCCCTGGCTTGCGACGGCGATTGCTTCAATCTGTGGGCATTGTTGGTACAAGCCCCACCACCCGGGATTGTTCGCGGTCCTATTTATAGAGCCCCCAACCGCAACCCCACGACACCACCAGCAACGCGGCGTCTCGAATGTTAGCCGTACAGATGCCACACTCGCCGTGGCTGCGGTGATGTCGACTTAGCCCTATCGACGCGAATCCTGGCTCAAGAGTCCCAACCGATGGCTTGCGCTGCGGCAGCAGCTGCTATTTAAACTAAAGCGAGACAAGATCGTTCTCCCTGGCTGGGTTTAATGGAATAGGAAACGAATTCCGACCATTGATGTAACGAGTTGCTACGGCGTTCGAATGTTATACAAGGTGCTCACTGCCAGCTGGCAGATGCAAACTCGGCCTGGCCTAGCTCCCTGCTACGTTTGACAAACATCCAGGTTCTTTGCTGCACAAAGGTGTGGTGCTCTCAAGCAGCAGGAAGGCCCATCTCCCATCATGCCTTGCATGCGCGGAATGTGGCGAAACTACAATGCATAGTCAACATACGGCCGGTCCACTGCTGGATGAGGGCCATGTTGTTCTTGGGGGTTATTTTCGACCATACTTCACCACGCTGGTCAGTCCGAGTTGGTGAAGGGTATGGTGGTTGGGATGGACGATGTTTTCTCAAATGTCAAATTAAGATTGCGCTGATTCATCAATGGAAATCTTTACTTACCCGTGATTCATATTAATCTATCAAACTTGTTTATATCTCGAGGAGTGGGGGAGGCCCAGGGGCGGAATGGCGGTACAGTGTTTAGCTTAATTTTATTTCTACGCAATTAAGCAGACTCTTGCATCATAACCTAAATGTTCATCCGGCGCAGCTTGTCGGCAGTAGCACGGGGGAGACAAAGGTGGCCGGGTCTGCGTGGTGCTCATCACGTGACCCAACCCCCCCCCCTTCCCCCCACTTCGAGAGAGAGCTGTGTCAACTTAACAGGTGCTTCCTAACAACACCTAATCCAGAAGCATTCGAGGCTACGTGGGGGGATGGTTCCTGTTGTGCGTGCGCGTAGGTGTGTGCTCGGATACGGGCGCTGCTATTGCGCTATTGCGTGTTTGCCTGCGTGCTCTAAACGTCATCGCATTTGCATGCCGCGCAAAGCAATTGAAGCGCGCAAGAAGGCGGACGGGAATGGCTTTTGAGTAAATGTATCGTGGTGGGGAAATGTCAACGATGAGCTCGCGCCTCCACCGCCATCCGGCCGCTGAGTCTTGCATTTGTTGGAACGGTGGGGCGCACGGAGGCTTCGCGCGCTGGCAAACCGCCAAATTCCACCGTGCCGTTTCTTGACTCGGTCTGTTGGGAATTGTTTTGCACGATGAATAAATAACTTGGGTAACACGTCGAGTGAGAGCTGTGGGGGGGGGGGGCGTAGTGACGCGATGGTGCACCGCCAACAAAATCTATTGGCGAGTGATCCGTTAACTCATCCTGGCCATCCCATCACCTTGACCAACCCGTAGTGACCAGCATGGTGAAGTATGGTCAAACAACGCCCATAACCAACACAGCAAGGGGGGGGGGATGCCTTCACCCAGCCGTGAATAGACCAAGGAGCCGTGCATGTACATTGACCGCAATCGCCCCAGCTTCTCTTCGTAAGCCTCGTCAGTGGTACTGTCCATATATAAAGCTGGGTCGTAAAATGCTAACAGTGTGTTTATCCGTAGTTATAATTGCGTTTCAGTGTAATTGGCATCGTACCGTGGTCTAACGATCGCCCCTTCGTGCGTCCCCCGGCAGAACGGAATTGTCCACCGTGACCTCAAGCTGGAGAACATCCTCCTGGATGAGAAGTTCAACATCAAGGTACCAGTGGAGGGGAACCCCTCGACATGTCGAAACTTTTGCCTGCATTTTTCTTACCTCGCGACATCTGAACGTCTACTGTCACCTCGCTAGGATTTTATAGATTGAAAGTGGGGGGCCGCCCAGCTCCCCCCTCAATTATTATTTTGCTGATGGGCCCCCAATGGGCCCCCAATGGGCCCCCACCACCACTTGGCGACAGTGGAGGTGCTGGCCCATGAAGGCTTTGCGGGAAATCTTGTCTTGGTTCATCTTTGTTGCCAGTCATCTCAGTCTGCCCCGTGACCCCGTGACCCCCTGCCAGCGAGCGTTCGACCCTTCACGGTGGCCTTAAAGTACTCACAGCCTGGCACGAGGGCCGTGGTGACGTCACCGCCACTTAGTGGCGTTCGGTGGTTGTTGTTACTGCTATCAAGGAGGCTTTCGTCCGGTGGTGCATTGTTGTTGTAGATGGGAAGTTAATACAAATGTGTTTTTTATATTTGTTGGTTGGATGTCGTAACGTGTCATTTAAATGCACTCAAAACTTCCGTCAATCGGTGTGCTTTGCATGACAAACGAGTCGATCGGTATGTTAATTGTGTTTTTCTAATATATGTTAAGTAAGTATGAGCGGGCATGCATAGCAAACTAAATCATTATTACATGTTTAATGGCCTGTCTGTCTGCTATCTGTGAAAATTAACTAATGCACACCTTGTTGGGAAAGCGAGAAAATAACATTGATCACTTTTTGGAATTTGACTAAATCCCCCCCTGCCCCCGTATACATCTGCCATTCCTATCTTAAAATAAAATAAACCACGTTGGCAAATGACAGACGGTAAAGTACCTGTTAACGAATAAGGTATGCTCAGGTGTGGTTCAGGTATTGGGTGATTCTTCAGCCCCTGGGTTCTTGGCCAGCAATGCAAAGCATGCAGCAGTTGTTATTTTTAATCAGTCTCTCCCTGCAGGGCAGGTGACTTTAAGCGTTAAAATGACCACCTTGGCAGGAACGCCGCCGTGCAGTAATGGTTAGGGCCACTGGGCCTGCCGTCTGGAGGTCGCCGCGTCAATCTGATGTACGTGTGCGCGTTGAACTTATTTTGCAAAGTACGTAGCCAACCGCGCTAATCGGAGGGGCTGGGGAAGGACAACAACACTAAACACAAAAAGCAGTTCTAAAGAAATTAGTTTTCAATCCAGATGATTTAAAGGTTTCTTAACTCCAGTGGTTTCCTAATATCGGAAGGAAGAGCATTCTAGACGGCCGCAGGAGGGCATCTGAACGCACGCGATGCGGTGACCGCCTTTGTTTGATGGCCAGCCAAAAACTGCTGCTGCTGCTGCGATGGCTGGGGGTCAAAACAATGGCGTGGGGTGGGGGGGGGTGATGGGGGGTCTCTTAAAGCCCTCCCGTCGCCTCCGCCCACCCAGCAGCATAACCCGCGCACCGCCACGGTTAGTCTGCGGTGGGATAAAGTGTGGAGTACGCTCCCACCTCTTCCGAGACGTGTGGTCAGCGTGGACGAGTACGACCATAATGACCCCTCCCATGGGTTTGGGGCCACCGCGAGTGCGGGCCCTGCGAGCAGCAGTGGCATGCGCAAAGTGCGGTAATAGCGGGGCCCTGCACCAGTTACCTTTTAGCCCGTGGGGGTGCCCGGCCGAGTTTAAACATTATAGCCACGATTACTGCCTCCTTTCGCAGCGACGCCTCAATTTCAACTAAAAAAAATGGGGTTAACGACTGGGTGAGAATTCCTGGTCTGCTGACATCATTGTGGGGGGTGGGGGGGGGATAATGAGCTTAGTTTCACTCCTCCCAGGGGTTTGTGGCCACGCTCACGGCTCGCTTATCGACAGCCGCTCTTAGCAACCGACCGGCTGCAAGACGCCCTTAGCGGTCGATCTCTAGAGCCAGCCCCCTCCACCGCCACCCCCCACCACCCATCCCCAAACTTCCCCGCCGACAACATCCAATTAAGGAAAATGCAATTCCTCGTGCGTGTGGCTTTTGTATAGCAACGTATAGGCCCGTGTCCAGATCTGATAGTCTGACAGCACGGCCTCGGGGATCGGGGGTCGTCGGGGGGAGAAGCTGCACGGATGTCTTCCGTGCCTCCGCTGAATCTAAGGCTAGCTTCGAAATGAAGAATCGGCCAAAATAAACAACATGAATATGTATGTTTCATTTCTTCCTGCCGGTAACGAGTTCAGAAGTTGCAGTCGCTTGGCTCTCGCATTGTAAAGCAGATGACGCACGCGCGACAAAATTAAATGGCAGACTCAAGCGCCCCGTAAACTTGTTCGGGGCTGTTAACTGTAATTGAGGCAGGATCAAAGCCAAGCTGAACGTCTTCATGATGACAAATACAAACTCGGTGTATGGCATTTCATAATAGCACCTGAGATATGAATCAGAGACACTGACATGGGCAGATAAAATTGGTAGGAAAACCGAAGAGCGCGCGACCAAGCGTGGCGAGATGCACACTCGGGGTTGCACGGAGAGAGATGAAAGAACAAATGCAGGACAGTGACATTATTGAATCAAAATATTTATTCGTCCTGGAGAAATCCGATGAGCTGTGAAGCTCTTTCTCACAAATGTCCAGTAGGGGTTGGTCAGAAAACTACAACAACGAGGAATACAGACGCAATAAGGAGTGCAAAGTGTAGGACATTGGACCAAAGTAATGTTGCCTGGGCGGGCCGCGTCGCTAGAAGGGGCGATGGCCGGTGGTGAAGACTGACTATGGAGTGGCAGCCAACTGAGAGAATGTGCCTGAGAGGAAGCAAGTCCACCGTGGAGGTGGAGAGATACATTTGGCTCCTCTGTTTGTGCTCATATGTGGATGCCAGATGGATTGTCATATCACACACCCATGAGAGATTGAAACGGCTTGTGGAGGCAATCATCCAGCAATGGTTTGATGATGATGAATATGATGGTTGACCTGATCATCCACGTGGTGCATATCTGTCCAGGGACTCATGTGCGCGGTGTGATCAGAACAGGGCCCTCCAGAAAAATGATCACCTGCATTGCTTCGCGTTTCGCCCCTCGCCACGTGTAACAGCCCTTGGGCTTTTGGCATACTTGTCCGCGTGGGACTTTCCTTACATGGTCACGGGGCAGTGGAGGGCGGGGGGGAGGTGGAGACGCAGAAATGGCCCGTGGCGACGGCTCACGGGTTACACCTCGCTCAGCCAGGAGCCACCGCGTTCCTCCGTGGTGACGGTGGCGGCGCGTCTCCTGGTGAAATAGCAACGCGGCAGAATGCACTGCGTGGGTTTGTCGCCGTTGCCCTGCAGAGCTCCCTGGGGCTTTTTGCCCGCGTGCCGTTCGACGCAACGTCCCGAGTCTTCTTGCTACACGCGTGTGCGGGCAATTCTTGCATTCGGATCCCGAAGAAGCTCCCGGAACGTGGTGCGAAACGTCGGGCGTCGTGCCGACCGACGCGCGAAACAACCCCGTCGAGGAGCCGTAGAGGCAGGCGCTCACAAGCACGCCTGGGAGGGCGCCACCGCCGCCACTTTTGTCTGCAGTGGCCTCCTCGTAGGGAAGACGGCTTAGGGAGACCTCGAAATGAGAAACGCTCACAATCCTGCAGCGAGCGCCTGCCAGAGCTCTATTCCGTGGCTATTTTTTCGCTGAACGCATTACGGCAATGAATTACTGTTGCCTGCGGGCCTCGGAGGAGAACTGTCGTTCCCCTGCACCTCCGATTTAGCACGGTTGGCTGCGTATGGTGTGAAATAAGTTAAATACATACGTACATTGACTCCTTGCACAGTGCTGTTGTTAATGGCCACAGAACAACATTGTCTGTAATGTGCCCGCCTTGGCAATAATGAAAAATATGGACGCCAATTTCGCATGTACCCTTTCGAACATAAACAAATGCGGTTATGTCAGTTATCTTAATTTATTATTTTTGCGCTCACGCTGCTGACATTGGCCGCTGTGAATTGGCGACGCCTGGAAGGTGCTCGGCTCGTGTGCGGGCGTGCTAGGCGGCGCCGTGCGGATGAGTGAGCGCTCGGGTCTGTGCCTGTGTGCGTGCAGATCGCCGACTTTGGGCTGTCCAACGTGTACCACAAGGACAACGTGCTCGACACGTTCTGCGGGAGCCCCCTGTACGCCTCGCCCGAGATCGTGCATGGCAAGCCCTACTGCGGACCCGAGGTGAGCAGGACGATGCCACCGCAGCCACCACCACTAAGCCACCGCAGCCACCACCACTAAGCCACCGCAAACACCAGGCCACTGCAACCATGCTCCCACAACCACGCCGCAGCCACCACCACAATCACCACACCACCATGCCACCGGAACTCTGTTTCGGCCATACCACAACCGCACCATGACCACAGCGCAACTGCACCACAGCCAGATCACGGCTGAATATCTGAGCCGGTCAGGCACCCCAATCATTGTGTGGCTACACCGCTCGGAGTATAAAACACATTTCAACCAGATACTCGTAATGGATGCGCCACCCAACTCTTGACGTTGTAAATTACATTTCTTACGAAGTATTGCACATCATTACATTACCTTTGCACGTCCTTTGATCACGCATGGTAATAGCCACCCTAACGTGTGCATGAGACTGCGAGTGCAAATTAGAAGTTAACTCTCTCTCGCTAAATGAATGCGGACACGATTAAGGGAAGAGTAATTAGGCAGCATTCACGGTTCATTAAGGGGAGCGGAACGAGCATTCGGGGCCCTTGTACATTGCCGTAGCGGCGTGCTTTTACAGGCCAATTAGGAAGTAATTGCAAAGTAATTTACCAAGGGACTGCACTAAATGATGCAAGGTGCGATGTATCATTAAGTTTTCTTTAAAAAAAAAATCCTGTGGCTTGAGCTGAGATGGAATGGATGTATTGAATCCATCTGTGTGGATCTTTGAATATGACCTCCTCGCATCTGTGGGAATTCTCTCGGTACACGAGGCACACGACCGATGTTTTTACGTCACTGCGGGCATCTTGGCTGCACTACTCGGGTACTGGAGGGGAATATTTTCCACCACCGAGCAACACCGTACTTCTAATTTGTTTCATCTCAGTCATTTCAGTCACCGCAAGGAAGCTCTCGCACTGACTGAAATGTGTGCGTATGTGTGTTGAATGTATGGCTCTTGCCAATGGTGTTTGAAAGTCCAAACCGGCCCTTTAATACTCATTCAGTTCTCCACTCCTGTCTTAATGAATGGGTTGATTCCATTTCCTGGTGAAATTTGACAGCCTCAGCTGTTTTGAATGTCATGAGGACGACCAGAATTGTGCAGGAATACGACAATGATGTTTCTTTACGCTACGGTGGCGAGATGTTAACTACCTCGCCTAGTATACAGGAGGTCGTGGGTTCGATCCCGACCCTGATGCTTGTATATTTGTATGTGTTCTCCCCGTGGTCACATGGATTTATTTCTGGGTACTCCGGGTTTTCCCTCCACAATTAGAATCAACCTGCGAGTATTTGGCTGAAATACATTTCTACATGATAAGCCACTTCGTTGAGCGATCGTTTCTGGACAGGTCGCTTCTTTACAGCTCAGTGGGCCTTACCCGGTAACGTAAAAAAACAATTCTAGTTTTTTACAGTTTTTAACAAAGACTTTCACAAATGTGGTTTGGACGTTGCTGGAAATGAGAGGGCGGAGGGTGGCAGCGAGCGTGTGGATCGGCAGCCGTAACAAACCAGTCGCGTGGTGGTTTTTTTTCCGTGGCGCGCTTCGCGAGCAGGTGGACGCCTGGGCCCTCGGCGTGCTGCTCTTCTCGCTCGTGTACGGCAGCATGCCCTTCAACGCCGACGACTTCTGCACGCTCATCAAGCAGATCTCCACCGCCGCGTTCCACGAGCCGAGCGTCAAGTCAGGTGACTGGCACGAAGCAGCCCCCATCCGCCACGAGCGATGCGTTTTTTTTCTCCCGTTGTATTTATGTCGTGGAGAATGGTAATCAGGAGATACATAATTGCTCCTGTCACATTTGTCTCTGCGTTTAAAAGTAAAATAATTGAGTTTACACAAGCCGTTTGCAGCACGGCCTTCTGGGAGCGCACCTGATTGGCAGCACTGGGATGCGTTTACGGCGGAGTGCCGGGGCCACACTTTGCTCGTGCGCCGACGCGAGTCTGACCGCGACGACGCTTCGCCCCCCCCCCCCTACCCATGCAGGAGCCAGCGAGCTGATCCGCTGGCTGCTAACGGCGGACCCCTCGCACCGCGCCACCGTGGAGGACGTCGCCTCCCACCCGTGGGTCAACGTGGGCTACGGCAGCTCCGTGTGCGACTGCCCGCAGGCCTGCTGCCGCCGCCAGTCGGCGGAGGCCTCAGCGGCCGCGGGCCTCTCCGAGGGCCGGTGCAGCCACGCGTCCAAGCTGCTGCCGGCGCACCAGAACGGCCTGCAGAAGTCCAGGAAGGAGAACGACATGACGAACCCTCACCAGCGGACGCCCTCCCTCAAGAAGCCCAAGGGCATCCTCAAGAACAGGACCGGGGAGAGCGGCCACCCGCGGGACGCCAAGGAGGCTCCCGCAGGACACTCGCCACCGTCGGGGACGCCATCCGACGGCAGAGTGGAGAAGACCTCTGCGGACAGACGCGAGGGGGCGGAGGAGCAAGCGGCCAAGATGCCGCGCAAGGGGATCCTGAAGAATCCTCAGCAGCGGGAGTCCGGCTACTACTCCTCCCCAGAGCGCTCGCTGTCCCTGGAGATGCTCGACATGGAGAGCGCCCCAGATCCGTTTGACGACGCGAGTTCGCCGGCGCCGGACGAGCGCCACGTGGACGAGCGGCTGCTGGCGGAGCCGCAGGGCAAGAGGAGCTCGAGCGACCGCAGCCTGGACACGGCGGGCGGCGGCGCAGCAGCGTCGTCTCGGCGCGCCACCGTCTCCATGGAGGACATCCTGTCGGGGGCCTCGTGCGGCGGCCGCCGCGACGAAGATGGCGGCGGGGGCGAGCCGCTGTCGCGCTCCACCATCACGCTCAGCAACGACAGCATCCTCTCCAACGAGTCGTTCGACCTCCTCGACCTGCCGCGCCGCGACCTCGCCCGCTGGAATCAGCGGCGCAAGAGGCAGCAGCAGCGGCAGAACCAGCAGCGCGTGCGGGCGGCGCGCTCGGTGGAGGACCTGGTGGCCCCGGAGAGCCGGCCGCGCCGGCCGCGCTCGCTGGGCACGCTGCTGCTGGACGCCGACCCCCAGCGGCGGTGCCATTCGGTCATCGAGAGCTACGACGGGGAGCTGGACTGCGACGACGAGGGCCGGCGGGAAAACCCGACGCTGGGCAACAGCCGGTGCTACCGCGTGCGCGGCGCGGCGTCGGGCGGCAGCGCGCGGTCGCTGCTCACCGAGATGGCGGACGTCACCGAGCAGTACCGGAGTGCCGCCAGCCACCGCCAAAGGGTCCTCTGTTGACGTCCGAGCCGGCGTCGAGATGTTTCGTACTCTCTGGGAATTTATCGAAGTTATTATTCCTAGGTAGCCGGCTGGTTCCTTTATGGTACGTTCATTTTGTTCGAAATGGAAATAATACATTTCACGCGTTCGAGTGAGACTCTTATTCCTCTGGAAGAAAACGACGTCGTCCTTGTCATGTGCGAAAATAAATTCAAGAATGTGCACTCCGGAGGAACAGCTGATGATAAGAAAAGTGTCATCAAGTTGAGTACGGTTATTTCACAGCTTAGTTTATTACTTGAATGAATGACTTCATTTTCGGAGCCGAGTTAGCTCGCTAGCAATGGCTAACAACCACGCCTCGTGCGTACAACATCTGGACATCGCGCCGACGGCGAGACCTCGGCTCACAGCTGGACTTTGTCTAGGAGGCCGCAGTGAACGCTTAGAAATCTCAACGACAGCAAAGCCACGCGAGTTGGAACGTGCGCTCTGGACGTTGGATGTCAGCTGCAGTCGCCCGCCACAAAAATTCGGCGTTGCAGGAGCCTCGTCTGGCGTCTCATGGCATGGCGTCTGCGTTGTGAACATTGCGTAACGCGCACGCTCTGGTGTGGTCGCAGCGTGGCGATCGGCGTCGCCCAGCCAAGAACTTCACGAAGCCACCTGCAAGAGAAGTGTCCTCTCCCTGTACATGCAATTGAAAGCACACGGAGACTTTGTTGTTGTTGTTGTTGGTGGAGTCGTTGCCATCATTGACTTCGTTAAAATTAAGGAATATGTATACTGGGCACGACAGGATATGTTGATCAGCTATTTTGACGGAAAAAAACGCAAAAGCTCGCTGTTCTGTAGCATTATCTCTGTTAATTTATTCTGCGTTTAAGCTATTGTTGTCTAAGCTTTGATATCAATTAAAAAATACCAACGGGAGCCAATTTGTTGGATGCCCCGAACAGAGGAAAATCTTACATGATGTTAAACTGACCTAAATCGGGGCTTCATTTCAGCCGGAGCCTTATGGGCCAGAGCTTCAGAAAATATTCCCGGGATCTGGTTGTTTGGGGAGGGGGGGGGGGGGGGGGAGAGGTTTGTGGTTGGGATTGGGAGCCCCCCTGGAAAATATCCCATGAGAAATTAAGCCATGGCCTTAACATTGCATTGAAGGGGCATTGTAACGATATGAACATTGTGCCCGCACGCAAGGTAGCCGTGATTTGTTCTGGTGGGTGGGGGGGGGGGGAGGTTTAAGCAGATGAGTGAGACTCCCGCCGGGTTGAAAGGGCAACTTGTTTTTAGGGCCGATGTGCAGCGGGCCCGACACCGCTACAAGCGGCGAGCGCCGCTGCTCGTGGAGGCTTCGGGCCGGACGCGCCACCGCGCCGCAGCGGCCGGGCCGCAGCGGCCGGTCCGTCGCGATCATTAAATTATTTTCTCTAGGAATCGTGACGCTCGTCAACGTGCGAAACAACAGCCGCCGTTTGTCGTCGGCGCTGAGCTTGCTTGTCGCGTTCGGTGGTCGTTGTGTACAAAAAATAAAGTTTGTTTTGGAATTCAGCGCTGCCACACCTTTCTGCCGCTGTCGTTTATTTCCAGATGAAAATTTACACGGTCAGTCGCCTCCCTACGATTCTCGCACGCTACTACCACGGTTTACTATTCCCACGAAACGCACTCGTCGATTCTCTGAGCCAGTTGGTGGCAATTTCAGAGTGCACAGCTGACCTCGGAGAGTGAGGTGTGAGCGCGTGTAAGTTATGAGTGAGTGTGTGAGATTGTGTGGATTCGTGTGTGTGTATGTAAGCGTACGTGTGAGCGAGTAAGCGAGTAGAGAAATTGTGTGGGAGTTCGCGAGTGTGTATGAGATGGAGTGAGTGAACGAGTGAGATTACGGGCTGTACGAGGACGAGCATTGCCTTGGAGAACAAGACCGTCTCTTGGCAGTGACCACGTCGCCTCTAGAATCACTGCGCACACGCACATAGACCGCGCAGTAGCCCGTGGCCAATCAACACAGGCGATCTCCTTGTGATCCAACAACCCTGACGCCATGAGACCTCCTTAACCAGTGGCAAAATATAGTAATAGGTTTTTACCCTTTCAACTGGTACAAAAACTGACACCTTTATACAAGGCATCATGTTTGCAATAACCACAACACAAGCAGTCAAAATGCAAACAAAAAGAAACAACTCTGATAATGATATGCACTGTCCTTGAAGTTGATTGGTCCACACCCGAGACAGCTTTTCTTAGAGCCTAGTCTCCATTGGTGTTGGACCACATGACGCCAAAAGGCGTACAACTCAAAGACAGCGCACTATCAGAGTATTGAGAGCTCGGGTTAAGCATTTACACTATGAGACTTCCTTTACCAGTGGCAAAATATAGTACAGTAATAGGTTTTTACCCTTTCAAGTGGTACAAAACACTGCTAATGGGAGTTGTGGATAATAGGGCTGGGGTTAAGATGAGCTCTGTAATTGAATGATTTGTATTTATTTTTACCATCTTGTTTAGATTGATTACAATTTCCTGTACCTAATTGTTTCTCTCGCTCTCTTTTACACGATTTAGTTCACTCCATTAGCCGTAGAATGCAACAGGCACTCCGTTCGCCTATCCCTTAAAATAGTCAATGCGCACGCCAACAATACAAAAGCATGTGAGCTGAGACTCGTGTGCTCATGGGATCAAGCGACTCACCGTCACGTGACTAAACTTACGCGGCCACGAGCGAGGCGGCATCCGTGCTGACCCTGCGTGACTGTCATCCCGTCCGTCTGCACGTGACATCGAATACTCCGTCCGCACACGCGGCTTGTTCGTCGGTGGAGAGAGGGGGGGTTTAATCGAACGCATCGCGACGGAAAGTGCTCGCGCAGAGGGCGCGTGCAGACTTCAAAGGAGTCGAACGAACCCGCGAGACCAAGACAAAGATTCCCCACCACCCCGTACACTCGTACAGCCTTGGCAAACTGTTGGGGCAGGCGCTGTTAGCGAGCACCTATGAAGGACGGCACGACACACGAGGGGGTGGGTGGCGAGCAGCACGCCCGGCCGCCTTTGTCTCCCCAGTGGAAATGTTTACACACCGCACCAGCTACTCATTTGAGGCTGAGTCGACCTAGGGGAGGCCTAGGACCGGTTCAGATAATCGTCACTGGTGTTGGCCGTGAGCGGGAATCGAACTCGGGACGCCGGGTTCGTAGCGCAGCGCGCTAACCGCTACACTACCGCTCCCCACACACACAAAGGACAAAGATCCCCCGTGTAGCCTGAACAGACTGTTGGGGCAAGTGTTGTTAACGAGCACCTACAAAGGCCGGTACGGCACACGAGGGGGTGGGTGGCCAACACCACGCCCGGCCGCCTTTGTCTCCCCAGCGCGCTAACCGCTACGCTACCGCTCCCCAAACACAGACACACAGATACACAGACACACAGACACACACAGACACACACACAGACACACAGACACACACAGACACACAGATACACAGACACACACGCGCAGGTGCGGCGGCGTATTAAAAGGTGGCATCCACACGCCAAGCCACCGCCAGAACCAGCAACCAGCAACCACCGCTCCGAGCCCGCACCGTCCCAGCGCCTCTCTTTGTCCTCTCCCGCATGATGTCACACTCGATTGCGTGACACCCCCCCCCCCAGCCCACGTGTCTGCCCGTCCACGTGTTTGCACAGGTGGTCGTCGTCTTGCAGGGCCCAGAGAATAGTTGGGGTCTGGCGGGTGGAGTGAGATTGGCACCGGCTCAAACGTAACCTGTCATGTGACTTCAGACTCTGTATCGCCCCCCCCCACCACCCCCCGTGACGTCCTCTCCTAGGTAGGCTCAGCCTGAAATGAATGCCCGACACGACAGGCACTGCGATGGTTGGCATGCCGTGGTTGCAATTGGCGGGTAGAGGTGTGGTAAAGAGGTTTAGTGCAGTACACCTCCTCTGCTGGACCAAACGTGATTCACGTCTAAACTAAGACTAAACAATTGTTTTTATTTCACCGGGTAAGACCCCACTGAGCTATATAGATCTTTTCAGAAGCGAGCTGGATGTTACAAATGATAGCTCAACGAAGTGGCGTATCGTGGGGAAATGTAGAGCAGCCAAACAACTCTAAACGCGTGATTGTAAACGTGGAGGGAGCAACCGGAGGACCCGGATAAAAATCCACGCGACCACGTGGAGAGAAACATGCAAACGCCGCTTACACAGCGGGCGTCAGGGTCGAGATCGAACCCACGACTTTCAGCACACCCGGTTATAAAAATTGTATTAAAAATAAAAAATAAAAAAATAATATTTTCTTTTGTTTTCATTTTATACCTATACGTGACTTTACCGAAAGAACCAAAGAGCATGGATTCGTGCAGTCACGAAAGCTTCAAATCAAGATTGTTTTGATTACAACGTTAACAAACATACATCGATGACTGATTCGCTCAGCCTCAATCTGTTCTCTCATCGATCCCTTGCCCCGTCGTCTCTCCACCACCGGGCGTTCTCTCTACTTCTCTTTCCCTACACTTTCGTGTCGCAATCGCCAGACTCGGATCTCAAACTTGGCATGCAACGCCCTCGAACAAATACACAGCAATAATCCACGGTATTGGCCCTGGCCCCCTTTTCACCGTAATTTCGCATTTCAATTTCGGTTCATTAAAATCGTCGGCAGACAACAGAGGCCCCAAACTCATGGCAACGCTGAAAATACATCAGCCTACTTTAATGTTTTATTCGAAGGCGCGACGGTGTGGATTGAGGCCAACGTTGTTGAGCGATTACATTCCTTCCTCTGCCTGTTTGTCACAGGTAAGAGCGTGAACGCAAGCACGGGCTCGCACAAATTGATTGATGTTCAAAGTCTGCGCGGTGGCATTGAATGAGTGGAATGCCTAGGCTTTTGTCCGGTTCAAGGCGGTGCACGCAACACTCACAACACGAGTTGTTTGCGTTCAAGGAGGCTGCTTCGAGGGACAAAAGGGCCGCTGAGGCAGTCGCATACCTGAGAGGAGCACCCTTGCCCGTGCCAGGTGACTTTTCCCACGCACGCCACGCTCGCCGTGTTTGTCCTTGGAAAATGCGCCTCTGCGGATTGAGTTGAGAAATATTTATTGGCGGAGCATTTGAGGCATTTCCCACGCGCGCTGTAACAGGAGGAATTTTTTTTTACGAAAGAGATGGGGGGGGGGCGGTGGTACAGTGGTGAGCGTGGGGCACCACAACTCTCCACAACCTGAGTTCACCTTCCAGGCTGTGGCTCACATCAGTGGGGAGTGATTCGCTAAGTCGGTCCCGAGGACCACCCCCGCATTCACCTACCTGCATTGATGAACGAATGGGAGGCATTCGTCCATCAATGGATTAACAGACGGCTGTACAGGTTGGTCCAGATGTCGTGTGACCCCCGATTAATTCATCCTTACTGGAATACATTCCTGCGGAGGGAGCTGGTAGGAACGTTGGGTTGCTCGGTCAATGGCCAGGGTCAACGGCGGCGTGGTGTATTCCGCAAATATTCCCGACTGTGAGGGTGGGCACAAGCCGGCGTGAGTAGGTTAAACGTTGAGTTTTATAAGGGCACCACGGGGTTACCAGCCCCTCCCCATCCAGCCCCACCCCTCCCACCCCCCACCCAGCCCCACCCTCCCCAGCCCCTCCCCACCCTCCCCACCCAGCCCCTCCCCACCCTCCCCACCCTCCCCTCCCCACCCAGCCCCACCCTCTCCACCCAGCCCCTCCCCACCCTCCCCTCCCCACCCAGCCCCTCCCCACCCAGCCCCTCCATGCACGACGGACGGACACAATAATCCCCCGTGGGCTGGTGTAACCAGGAGGTTCCTACCAGTAAAAACATTAAGTTTAAAATAATTAAATGGAGGTCACAAGACATCTGGATCACCCTGTTAATTGTCATGATCAATATGAAGGGAGATGTAATATCTATGCACGAAAATATATCTCTGCTCCTCCCAATCCCGCTATTCTTATTTATTTTTTGCTGAAATAAAAAAACGAACTCTTTATTACTGTCTCAAACTGATGACTTAAGTAACTGATATTTACACAGGGATCATTTACTTGGGTGTGCGTTTGCTTTAGGGTCAGCATACATTCTTCTGTGTCACCAAAACATATATTAATCTGGCAACGGATGGATTTGAGACAAATGGGAATGTTTGTCATTCTTGTGAATTAGTAACGTTGAACAAAATAATGTACGGATGTTTGCCATTCCAAGGCTAGGGAATTGTTTGACCATACTTCACCACGCTGGTCAGTGCGGGTTGGTGATGAGGGGGTAAACCAGGCTCCAGTTCCGATAGCAGTAGCCACTCATGGTGACTGTGGCCAGGAATTCAACTCAGATATCCGGGTTCATAGTGCAGTGCACTATCCACTGTGCCACCACTAACCAGCTGGCATTTTATTTAGATTCTTGGCAAGGAAGTTTGCCTGTCCAATAACTACAACAAGGTCTCTACGCCCGTTCGTGAATGAGGCTCATTTCTGCTGCCTTGAACAATGAAATTTGGCAG